GGCGGAGAGGCGGGGGGCCCCCTCGGGTCGGCCCACCCCGCCGCACCATAAAAGCGGCTGCAGGCGGTGCCCGGCGGGAGGCAGGAGCTGCGGGATCCACTGCTGCGAGCGCTGCCGCTGAGTCCCCTCGCCACCGCCTGCCCCGCACCGCTGCCGGTCCGGCACCCCCATCCCTTGCCAGGGTGAGTGCTGGGGTGGCCCCGGGAAGGGAGGTCTGGGCACCTGGAGGGGGTTCAGCAATCCCACCAATGCTCCGAATGAGGATGCAGGGGAAGAAGTGAGGTGACGGGGACCGGGCTATGTGCAAGATGGGGAGGAACCTTGGTGTTCAGTAGAAAATCCAGGTGGAGGATAAAAGGGAGGTCTGTGCGGCCCCCTCACCCATGTCCCGAAACATGGGGCAGACAGGAAGCAACAAGAGCATGGGGCAATGTTCGGGGGCTGCCCGTTGCTGTGGGTGCCTGGGAGGGCTGTGTCAGAGCTGGGTGACCTGATGAAGAGTGTAGGGCTGGGGTATGCTGTGAGTATGGCAGGGACCAGCCCACGCATCCCCCACAGCACAGGGACAGGGACATCACCACTGTGCAAGAGGGCATGATATCCCTCCACCATTGCCCAGCTCCTGGGGCACAGGGGGGGCTGCAGCTGCATCCCTGCTCTGCCTGGGTCCCCAAGAACTCATTGCTGGGCTGTCCCCAGGCATCCCACCCACAGAACCGCGATGGTGAAGCCAAATGGCGCAAGTCACGTCCTGCTGGTGCTGCTGCTGTGCTGGGTGGTCCCCAGCAGGCAGGAGCTGGCCCCGGTGCAGCTGCGGCTGGGGGGACCACGGGGGCCGGCTGGAGAGGGCCGGCTGGAGGTGCTGTACCAGGGGCGCTGGGGCACCGTGTGCGATGACGGCTTCGATTTCCATGCGGCCACCGTCGCCTGCCGACAGCTGGGTTACACCGCAGCCATCACCTGGACCCACAGTGCCACCTACGGCCAAGGGGAAGGTAGGGGGCAGCTGCGGGATGGGGGGCAGGGGACCCTGACGAGGGCAGTGTGCTTCCCGCTGGCTGTGGGAGCCTCCCCACAGGGCTGTGGGCGCAGACAGCTCACGGGACACACCGGATGGACGATGCTGTGTCCCCAGGCCCCATCTGGCTGGACAACGTGCGGTGTGGGGGCAGCGAAGGCTCCCTGGCAGAGTGTGTTCACAATGGTTGGGGCATCAGTGACTGCCACCATGGTGAGGATGCTGGTGTGGTGTGCTCAGGACAGCGCCTGCCTGGCAACTCCCTGCAGGCTACCGCCTCTGGTCACCTGGGAGAGGTGAGTGGGGGCCCGTGGCATTCGCCTGTGCCCAGCAGGGTGCACCAGGGCGACTGGAGCAGGTCCCACCAACCCTTCCCCTGGCCCCCTTTGTGAACACCTTGCCCTCGATGCTGGAGCCCCACGCCCACGCCGTGCCCGCTGTGGCAGGTGTCGGGAATAACCCTGGAGGAGGTGCGGCTCAAGCCCATCCTGGCACGGGCCAAGCTGAGCATGCCAGTGATGGAGGGTGCTGTGGAGGTGAAGCACAATGGGCACTGGAGGCAGGTGTGTGATGCCAACTGGACCAGGAACAACAGCCGCGTGGTCTGCGGGATGCTGGGCTTCCCCCGGGAGAAGCAAATCAACTCCAGCTTCTACCGGTAGGGATGTGGGAGATATGTTCTGCACCTGGGCACGTGGGGCAGGTGCCTGGCTGGACACCCTGTGGGGACAAGAGACTGGAGGAGCAGTCAGAGAAGGGCTGCACATATGGGTGGGTGTGTGAGGTGTCAGTATGGCCTGGCCACGCCTGGATCCTATTCTTGGGCCTTTGACAAGGTTCAGAGTTGGGCTCAGCAGCATCCAGAGGTCTTTGCAGATGGTCACCATCATGGCAAAGTGTGGCAGAAAGGAGAGGAAAGATAAGTGTCCCTTGGTCCCTCCCATCCCGTCTCAGCCTGGGACTATAAATACAGCCTATAATGAGCCCCTACCGGTGCCAGGAGTCACACAGTCCCGCTGGGACACACGGTACAGACAGGCTTGGCACCGTAATTGCCAGTGGGGAGAGAATGACGTACCATGGGGTCTCCATCTCCTCCCGGGGAGGGCAGAAATGATGGGGCAGGGGGTTCAGTGTTGGGCAGTGTCAGCATGCTCCCTCATCTCCTGGCTCTGTACACCCGCAGAAAGCTCTGGAACAGGAAGCTGAAGGACCCCAACTCCAGGTAGGGCTCAGCACTGGGCATGGTGGGCAGGGCACCTTGGATGGGCACCCAGCACAAGCATTGGGTGGGGGAGAGTCTCTGGCACCTGAGCTGATCCCAGCCCTGCTCTTCTCCCTCGGCAGCCTGAAGACCCTCAGCCAGAAGAACAGCTTCTGGGTACACAAGGTGCGGTGTCAGGGCTCAGAGCCCCACCTGGCCCGCTGCCCTGTGCAGGTGGCCCCACCAGCCCCCCACCAGCACGCCTGCCCCCATGGCATGCACGCCATCGTCAGCTGTCTCCCTGGCCCTGCCTTCCAAAAGGGCATGGGCAAGGGCAAGAACAAGACCACCCCAGGAAAGGTGAGCCCTTGCAGAGTTCCACACCCTCTCCTACTGACAGTGTCTCAGAGCTGAGCAGCCACTCCATTTGCACTTGAGGAGGGGGCTGGCTGTGTCCTGGGGGTGCTGACTGGCTGCTCCCCATACCCAGGTGCTCCCAGTGCGGCTGCGAGCGGGCACCCACCCTGGTGAGGGCCGGGTGGAGGTGCTACGCCACGGGCAGTGGGGCACCGTGTGTGACAAGCAGTGGGACCTGGCTGCAGCCAGTGTGGTGTGCCGGCAGCTGGGCTACGGGACAGCAAAGCAGGCCCTGGTGGGAGCCCGGATGGGACAAGGTGAGGCAGGTGTTACAGCATGGACTTGGGAAACCTCTGGGCTTGGAAGGGTATAATGGGGAAATCAACTGATTTGATCTGTCCTGCTGGAGAATCCTGGGATGCTCATGCAGCTCCAGCCTACCTTGGGATGAGGTTACCCTGTCTGCTCCTGTCATGGGCAGCTCCATTCTCAAAGAGAATGCCCAGACCAGGAGATAAGGATGAGGGTCCTGCTCCAGGATGGTCATGGAGAAGGGAGCACTGAGCCTTCCTGTGCTTTAGGTCTGGGGCCCATCCATATGAGCAACGTGCGGTGCACTGGCCATGAGCGCTCCCTGGGCGAGTGTCGCTTCCAGGACGCTGAGCAGAACGGGTGTCGGCACGAGGCTGACGCTGCCGTCCGCTGCCACATGCCCTACATGGACTTCAAGAGCCAGGTGAGCCCCTGCCTCCTTCCCAGAGCCTCTTGAACCCCAGTCCCATCGCACAGCCCCTGCTCCCCAAGCTCTGTGCCCAGTGTGGATGCTCAGAGCAGCCCTGGGGTGACCCAGGAGATGGGGGAACACAGAGCAGCACCCTGATGGGATTCTGCAGTATGGTCTGGTGGCAAAATTGGTCTTGTAGGGAGGAAGGGAGGAAGAGGAAGATGAGGGAGATGTTCAGCTGGATGTGTGGAGCTGCTTGTCCCATTGCAGCACGGGGTGGGACAGCTGGGGGTCCGCAGCACATTTCAGCTCAGCTCCTCTCTGCCAACAGGTGCGGCTGGCCGGGGGCCGCAACCCTGAGGAAGGAGTGGTGGAGGTGCTGGTGCCAGTGCAGGGGCGGCTGCAGTGGGGTGCAGTGTGCGGTGCACAGTGGGGCCTGAACGAGGCCATGGTGGTCTGCAGGCAGCTGGGGCTGGGCTTTGCCAGCCATGCCCTACAGGTGAGTGGGGTACTGGGAACAGACCTGCAGGGGTCCTGCAGGCTGGGTAGCGTGGACATGGTATGGCATGGGGCTCTGAGATGGCACGGTTTGGGGACAAACTGTGGTGGCAGTCTTAGGGCAGGAAAGGAGGCAGGGGAGGCACGTGGGTGCTGGCAAGGGCTGCAAGGACTGGCCCAAGCACTGTGCTCCTCCTCTGTTCAGGAGACGTGGTACTGGGCAGGCAGCCCCGATGCCACCCAGGTTGTGATGAGCGGGGTGCGCTGTGCCGGCACCGAGCTGGCCCTCCAGCAGTGCCAGCGCCATGGCCCTGTCCACTGCCCCAGCGGCGGGGGACGCTTCTCAGCGGGGGTCACCTGCACTGCCCGTGAGTAGCAGGAGCCAATGGGGTACCGCTGGCAGGGGGTGATCCCCCTTCTCCTGTAGGAGAGTGGGGGGTGCTATGCAGGGTGGGGATAACCTTCTCAATCCCCGCTGATCCCCCCCATGCCAGACGCCCCAGACCTGGTGATGAACGCCCAGCTGGTGCAGGAGACAGCCTACCTGGAGGACCGGCCCCTGGGGCTGCTGTACTGTGCCCATGAGGAGCGCTGCCTCTCCCGCTCTGCTGACAACATGCAGTGGCCCTATGGCCACCGCCGCCTCCTTCGCTTCTCCTCCCAGATCCACAACCTGGGAAGAGCCGATTTCCGACCAAGGATGGGGCGTCATGCCTGGACTTGGCACCAGTGTCACCGGTGAGTGGCCCATAGGCAGGGGCTGGCAGGAAGCTGCCCCCTCCTAGGGCCAGGCAGGGCATGGTGGCACCCCTCCCCAAGAGGCTGTCCCACCCAGGGTAATTAACAGCGTCTGAGCCAGCACTGTCATTACGGCTTTATTTGGCTTCAGGGTTGTAATTTGCTGAGTCCCTGGGTGCTGCCCTGCTGGAAGTTCTGCTGGGGTTGCCTGGGCTAGCCACGTGCTCCCTGGCTGGGCACTGGCCCTGTGCTCAGCTCCTGTCCCCACAGACACTTCCACAGCATCGAGGTCTTTACCCACTATGACCTGCTGACGCTCAATGGCTCCAAGGTGGCTGAGGGGCACAAAGCCAGCTTTTGCCTGGAAGACACCAACTGCCCCGAGGGTAGGTGCTAGCTGCAGAGCGGACAGTGGCCCTCATTCTTCTCCCCAAAGGGTCTGTGCCTCCCTCACACCCCTTCCTTGCTGCAGGTCTTCAGCGACGCTTTGCCTGTGCCAACTTTGGTGAGCAGGGGGTGAGTGTGGGGTGCTGGGACACCTACCGCCACGACATCGACTGCCAGTGGATTGACATCACCGATGTGCCACCAGGCAGCTACACCTTCCAGGTACGGGGATGGAGGGCTGGGGGACACCAAGCTACCACATCTCAGGGCTGGAGGATTGTCCTCCATGAGCACCACAGCATCCCTCACACTGCATGTCAGGGTGCTGATCTGTACCCTGCTGTGCATGCCACAGTCCTGCCTGGCCAGGGCATAGCAGAGGTGCTCCCAGCCCTGCCCCTTGCCCTCCCCAGGTGGTCGTGAACCCCAAGCATGAGGTGGCTGAGTCAGACTTCTCCAACAACGTGATGAGGTGCCAGTGCAAGTATGATGGGCAGCGTGTCTGGATGCACGGCTGCCACACAAGTAAGGAGGGACAGGAGCATAGGGGCTATGGCAGGCAGGGTGAGGGAAGTGAGGAGGCTGGGGGTGCCACAGGTTTCTTGTGCCCCTA